TGCGTAGATAAAATAGATTTTGAGTTATAGGTGGGTCGAACTTGGCCCGAAATGGTTCGTGTAATATAACCCACGGCCGGTGTGTCGCTTTTTTTGCTCGAACTTGGCGGACACACTGCCGTGTGTCTAGATCAGTTGATGCATAGTGCTATAGACATAATTTAAAAAAGTGAATGTATTGAACGAATGGTAGGTATCCCATATCAAAAGTATCGGAATTCTATAAATTCGACGATGCGGAATAAACTGGAAAATAATGTCGCATTATCAGCAACGCCATCTCAATTTATAGTTACAGGCGCTTTTGCTATTGATGCAGAATTAAATGGGAATGTTTTAAAAGTTTAATCAATGATGCACACTCCCACTACAGGGTAAAGGATTTGACAGCAGGTGTGGCGCAGTGGTTGTGGGACTGCCTGCGACACAGAAGGTTTTGGGTTCGATTCTCGGCAGGTCTCACAAAATTGATGTAGTTTGTTGTTGTGAATTTGTTCTCAGTCTGGCAAGGACATTGAGAGATTAACCTCATGATTGTCCAATAAAGAAAACGGTTTCGTGCTTCAGAGGGCACGTTTAACCATCGGTCCCAGTTGTAGTGTACGATTTCTTCAACAGTGATGGTTACACAACCACGACAGAGGCCTGCTTCTTGAAGTAGGCGGTTGAAAAACTCTGACGCAAGGGTTCATCGGGTCGTTGGTCAACTCGGCGTCACAGTCGAAAAGTAGAAGAAATGGCAGCACCAATGGAAATCAAGACTAGTAGTACTAATAGGTTGACCGAGCTACAGTCTACAAAAAAAGTGTTATTTTGAAATGTTTTATAATACGTAATATGTGACGGATGATTTTAGCATTTCTCTCGCATACGTATGTCAAAAAGTGTTGCAGCCAGCAGCACCATTAAAGTGCCCGGTATCCATTTGTTTCATTCCATTATTGTATTTGCTAATTTTAATTTAAGAATGCCTTTTGTGTTAAAAGTTTCTTTGTCTCCGAAACAATGCCTTCCTCTTTATTTTTAAAATTAATTTTATGCGCTTCCTTATTTTGGTGAATCATTTAATTCGCAATTCATGAAAATTATTTTATTTGTATAATTATTTGTAACAGAGATATGTTTCATCGGTTTGACCCGCTAATATCGATTATTTTTTCTGATTGTACCTCATTTCAACTGTACCTGCTTTGCTGACCCTACGAACTATAGTCCGACAGTTAGCGCGCGACCTTGCCTAGGCAGGCCTAGGCAAGGAGGCGTAGCAAGAAAGGGACACGAGTGCGCGTCATATTGGAATTATGATTGGAATGACGTGCTAACTCGCTCCCCCACCGTCTGTTCCCCGCGCGAAGTTGCCGAACTCTACAATACATCCTATTCTCTTTTTCTTTCTCTCGCTCTTTCCTTTAGAACACCGAGTCAACGAACGACCCTCTGACCTCGGATTACCAGAGGGAGCCCGCCCTAATTTAGGGGTATCATTATAGGGCACAAATTACCATTCGTTAATTGCTATAACCCGATATGTATTCAGATAGCGTTGCAGATTCCAACAAGATGTCTGTGAGAGAAATCCCTGGTAAAATAAAAGGTGTAGCAAATTCTACATATTAATTTTAGAATTCTGTTTATACCTAAGGTTGATCAGAAACTCTAAATATTTTAAAAATATGGTCCAGTCGTCTCTGAGAAATAAAACACTCTACGTTCTTTTTTTTTTTTCATTTTGACAAATAGCCATGCATACCTTAATTTTTACCTGACACTGGCGAGCTTGTCTCAACGAATGCCATCCGATATAAAAATTAATAAGGTAGTGCCCTAGTGCTAAGCTCCTGAGTAAATACGAGCACCTACAACAAAATCAAATTCTAAAAGATATGCTGATTTTTAAATTGCAATTACTTTGAAAATACTATATAGATTCTGATAAAATAAGAAATAACATAATCAAAAATCACTTGAGATTAGCTTGTAATCATCATCATCAATTCATCATCTTCCTGCCCTTATCACAATTACCTACTTGGGGTCGGCGCAACACGTTTCGTTGAACACAAAATCATCCGACCGGCCGCCTACCAGACGTCAACCCTCCTTGGGAATGCTTTTGTGGTGGATTAACCACCACCATACGGTTAGCCCTGGCTGTTTGGGTCGGGTTTATCCCTCGGTCGCCTCTTACGACCCCCACGGGAAGAGAGGGGGTGGTGCTATTCTACTCTGTCGGCACCACACGGCAGCCGGCACCACACGGTCTTTCCATGGCTCTTTCCCGATTAATACCCTTTATAAACAAAACATATCTCTAGCGGTCAACAACAGGGTGTTTCAGTATCGTTGCGGCGGGCGTGCCTGCGAATACATAATGACGTCCAATGACCACATTTGTAATTTTATTACAAAACCACCCTTGTTATGGTAATCGTATACGGCTGAAATTGGCTGATACTACCAGCGGCTTATACCGAACACTTTATGAAAGAGATTATTTATATTGTGTGAAAAAAAAAAGAATAGCGTATGAAAAAGTGGTTGCAATGAAATTGAGCCTGCGAATTCGGGATTAATAGGCGATAAAAAACTGGTGGCGACCAAGCTTCACAGCCTGGCTCACCGCCGCAAGGTTGCTTGCCTATCGGTCTTCTACAGATTGTACTTCGGAGAGTGTGCGCGTGAGCTGCATGAGCTCATACCACCTTCTCCTTTCTTCCATCGGACATCCAGACGCACGGCCGGCTACCATCCGTTCTTAGTTGATATACCCACATTACGCACTAAGCGCTTCAAATCATCTTTCATTATGCGCACAGCTAAAGAATGGAATTCCCTGCCTGCGTCTGTATTTCCGAGTGCATATAACCTGAATCTCTTTAAGTCTAGAGTGAATAGGCATCTTCTGGGCAAGCTCGCTCCACCGTAGATCCCATCTCTGCTCTAGGGTAAGATTGGGGTCAAGAGTAAGCCCATCATAGATTAAAAAAAAAAAAAAAAAATTTGATTGGCGGGCAGTAGTGGCACAGGGCACACACAGCCGCAAAATATAGATCGAAAAGCGGTTTGATGGTATCCGGTCAAAAAACTCCGGACGTTCATAGCACGGCCGAGCCGCAGACTAAAAATCGAAATATTCTACCGACTCAGAAAAAATCGAGTCCAGCGAGATTTAAATACCGAAAACTTTTTACAACTTTATTTTTACGAAAGCTATTTTTGGACGGTATTTTAGAAACGACTGACATTCTCAAAAACACTAAATTCAACTCGCTGAAATTTTTTCCAGAAGAACAAAGATCAAGGAAAACGATTTCTATGGAAGGTAATTATTTATTTTTATGTTTTTGACCTATTTCCTTCCCGAAAGTAGTTTTCCGGAAAGATTGTCGTTCGGTACCTACTGTAAGGTTCGAGTCTAGTGAGAATAGAATATCAAAAACTTTAACAAATTTTTTACGAAACTTATTTTTGGACGGTTTCTTAGAAACGACCGACATTCCCGAAAACGTTAAATTCAAGTCGCTAAGAACAATTTCCCAGAAGAACAAAGATCAAGGTTATTTTAAAGAAAACGAAACCAGTTCACCAAGTAATTTTCTATGGAAGGTAATTATTTACTTTTATGTTTTTGACCCATTTTCTTAGCAAAAGTAGTTTCCGGAAAGATTTTCGTTTGGTACCTTAGGTCCAGTCTATTTAAGGTTCAACTACTACACAATTTCTAATTCATGAATCTTCCTTGTGTCACTGGGACACTTTTTGCAAAATTCTATGCACTTTAGAAGCTTCAGACCAAACGTCCATATTTCCAAAAGTTTCAATAAATTTAGAATCCGAAATATTGGAGTATTTTTAGTGTTAGGGACCTCCGTCAAGTACCAGCGTCCCGTTCCACCCAGTATTAGGTATATTGTTTTCCTTTTACACACACCTTACTACCTCTTAACAAAACATCGTCTGGTTCTCTTATTTTAAGAGGCACCTTCTTAGCATTTAAATTGGATAATTATCATTTCCCTTTCTAAGGAACACGGCCTTTGTGACTGAGTTCATTAGATAGCTATTTCCATTTGCTATTAATTGGAATTGCAATGAACATTCTAGGCCAGCTCCTAGGAATGGTTACGTGGAATATTAAGGCGAGCAACACACGTACCTAACGTCTGTTGCTGCGCTATTTTAGCGCTGCTAACGCATGCGTTAGGAAAATGCAAATTTCCACCTCATTTTCCTACAAATACGGTTTATGTCAAACAGTTTGACAGACGCATCCGTCGAGCATTGTGCGATACGCAGCGCAAGTGGATACGTCTTCGACTTTTCGTAGTTCTCTGGCCCTCTTCGTCTAAAACAGAAAGATATGAAAAATAATGTCGAACGAAACATATAAAGTCTGTGATTCTAGATCATAAAAAGGGTAGCATTAAAATAAACCCTGTTACAAGTACTAACTTACGTCCCCACTCCTAATAAACTCGGAAAATATAGAAGGTCGTCCATATACGCACCTAACATAAAAGCTATGTAAAAAAGTTCTTATGCAATTTCAGTTGAGTCGTAAAAAACTTGTGAGTTCCGTAGGGATAGATCCATAACTTTTGTTACGGTTCCTTCCATTTCACGTGACACGAATTTCATAAACTTATCTACATAAAAAAGTTTTAGTTGGCCTATCATTTATACGATGTACCACATATGTAAAGAAACTTTTTTTTCTTACTTAAATCACCTACGTATTTTTAGCATCTACCAGTAAAACATTAACATGCCACCTACCTACCAATCACAATGGCACTTTTTCATTATTCTATAAATAATAAATATCCCTGGACGGACGAGACACACAGCGCCATCTAGCCCCAAACTAAGCAAAGCTTTTACTATGGGAACTAGACAACTGATATAATACTTATATACTTTTTTTTTTGTAAATAAATACATATAATACATATAAAACACCCAGACTAAACACAAATATTTGAAAATAGACATAACAAATATTTGGGTCGGTGGGAATCGAACCCACGACCCTCGGCGTAGAAGGCAGGGGTAGTATCCACTACGCCAACGGGACAGTCAAATCTTATGTCTTGTGCTTAAGTTCTATTTGGTTAGCATTTAGTATACGTTCCTCTAGTTGGGAAAAATCAGATACCTACAGAATTCGTGAGACTTGGATTATCATCCTTTTCTATTCGTGTGGTAAAATTCTCATACAGCAAACAAGTCTATAAAGTCAAACATAGAGCGTACGCCACCGCTCAGAATCATAACCAATTGAAACGCGGCACAACCCCAGTCCAGATTAAGCGTTTTAATCCAATATCAGTTAGTAAATAAATAATTTTTCCAACCAAAATACCGGCAAGAATATTCATCATCTCGCAATAAACATCAATCATGATAACTTGGATCCTCCGGGCCTTAATTGACTCTATTACCAGTCAGGCGAACAGAAATTGTTTTTCGGCTGTCCGTTAACTTTTCGACAGCAACTGACAAGTAAAGCTCTGTTAATAATTGCTTCCTTGTCGGTTGCGTACTGCTCATTTACTGACACAAGTACCATTTTTCTAGGTGATTTTCCTTTCCTAGGTATGTACACTATCAGCGGCACCAAATGGGTAATTAGAGAAATCAATATTATACCTACTAGTAGAGGTTGATTTCCAAACTAATTCAATACATTGACGTAAAAAATAGGAATTTTCTATGGAATTATTTTAAAACTATTTTCGTAACTCAGTCCAATTTAATTCATTTAAAAGATGGCTCTAAATTGGTGTTCGTTCGAGCAAGAAAAAGGTAAAAGGCGGTCAAATTGCCCTTTTTACAAATTAATAAAGGACAAAGAAAAGAAAATTACGTTAAAGAGTTTCGCCGCAGCTTTTCTTTTTAACTGAAAAAGTTCGCTGGCACGAAAAGTTATCTAATTATCATTAATATCCAACCCTTTATAAGCCAAATTTAAATTAAAACTGCAATGAACAAGAAAACACTTTTACATTCAACATTGTTTCATGTTTAATTAAATTTATTCAAAGCCTTTCGTTTCATTTAGACAAAAGCGTCTGAAATATGAATAACACCAACAATTCGTATTTGCAGACATAATACTTACTTTTATAAACAGAAAGAGAAAGAGGAAATAAAATTAGCTTTGATGTTTGAGTAGCTATTTTACAAACATTACAAAGCATTTTTGTGAATGAGAATGAAACGTAAGGAATTCGCAAAAAGGCTTACCCCTGTCCTAAAAACATCAAAGGAGACAGCATCCAGGTATTTTGATCTCTCATCATCATTCGACAGCTAAAAAAGAACGTTTGTATATATGTCGCAGTACGATGGCAGAATTAGGTTTTTGGCCAAAAACCTAGGTTTTTGGCCAAAAGCCGGCATATGGCAAAATCGTAGACTTCTTTCGGCCATCGTCCTAAGCTGATCCGGGTTTTTGGCCAAAAACCTAGGATTTTGGCCAAAAAACTAGGATTTTGGCCGAAATCCTAGATTTGTTTAGTTTTATGGCTTTTTTTGCATTTCGGGGGAACTTCTTCTTCTACGAGTGGTACACCAAGTCGCCCAACGACCCGATGAACCCTGGTGTTAGAGTTTTTAAACCGCCTACTGCAAGGAGCAGGCCTCTGACAAGGTTGTGTAACGACCGCCGTCTAAGTGAGCAATCGGGACTGACGGCTTAACGTGCCCGTGTAGTTCGGGCATACACCTCAAAAGGCAGGAGGTAACATTTGACGTTCTGGAGGGTGGGAGGTAGCGTCAGACGCTCTGGAGGGCGTGGGTAGCGTCGGACACTCTGGAGGATGTAAGATGACGGGCGTTGGATTTTCTGGGGGTCCGACGCTACCTCCTGGTATCCAGGGCGTCCAACGCTACCACCAATCCTCTAGAGCGTTCAGTGGTACGTCCTGCTCTTATGGTGTCTGAAGCTCCCCCCTGCCCTTCGAGGCAATCCTGCTATTCAGACTGTCTGATATTACCCCCCGTCCTTCAGGGTGTCCATTTACGGTGTCCAAGTCTCCCCTCAAAAGATCAGAGGGAGGTGCATAAAGTACCTCTTACTCCTCGTTCCCCCGAACCACACGGGTACGGTAAGCCGTCGGTCGGTCCCGATTGCTCTCTATGATCACTTAGACGGCGGTCGTTAAACAACCATGTTAGAGGCCTGCTACTTGCAGTAGGCGGTTGAAAACTCTGATACCAGGGTCCATCGGCTCGTTAGGTGCTTTGGTGTACCACTCGAAGACGAAGAAGTTCCCCCGAAATTCAAAAAAGCCATAATACTAAACAAATCTAGGATTTCGGCCAAAATCCTAGTTTTTTGGCCAAAATCCTAGGTTTTTGGCCAAAAACCTGGATCAGATCAGGACGATGGCCGAAGGAAGTCTACGATTCTGCCATATGCCGGCTTTTGGCCAAAAACCTAGGTTTTTGGCCAAAAACCTGATTCTGCCATCGTACTGCGACATATACATGGATGATATCCTTTATACCTTTGCGTATGGAGCGTTATACGAACTCAAAATGTTACAGGCGTTATCAGACCATTGAACTTACAAATTTTCCCCAGGGATAATTAGTGGCAAACGACAAAAAACAATTTGTAAGGGGACAAATTCAGCTGATCGTAATTTTTTTGTCGTTTCTTACAATTGTTTGATCATAGACAGAAGTTGTTGAGTTTCGTAGTCTGATTACGCCTTCAAAATTTTCGGTACAGCGACTACACTTCCATCTGATATATTTACGCCACTGTATACTCGCATAGTTTGGTTATACATTGTAGCCCCTTGTTCCTTGAAGAAAGTTGTTTGGTTATGCCTGCAAAGTTTCCGGTATACCGTCCCTTGCACCGCGTATAAGTAGTAAATAGGAAACGGAGGGGAAGTAGTAGGCAGGTACTGCAGAAATGCCTATCCAAAGAAACGTCCAACTTTCAAACATTTCGCGGTAAACTGTTTAAACCAACTCGGGGGCTCTTTGATTAACAGACGTGAAACTTCCATCTTCATTTCCCGACCACTTCATTAAACGTAACAGTTGGGAGTTCTTGGAAACTTGCAGCTGCCGTTGATGCCACATTTTCCTCCATAATGCGGGTAGATGTAACATAATCTCTCAAGTAGTACAAATATTCTGTGGTTGTATTTCTTCTTCTTCGTTTCGACGACGACACCTGTGACGACACCGAGTCGTCCAACGAACCGATGAACCTTGGTTTCAGAGCTATTCAACCGCCTACCTACTACAAGTAGCAGGCCTCTGGTTTTATAGGACACTAAGAAAGAAGTAGTGTTGAGAGGCGGATTTAAACAATAAATGGTTGGAAAGTGTTTTCTAAGAGAGACCAACTAGAGGATGGACACTACCTAAATCACCTAAAATAGTCACAATTTTAGTAGGTTGTTGTGAAGAGTATAATTGAATCCTCTCTAAATTAAGTCCTCTCTCACCATTCTCAAATTGCAGGTATCCAAGTATGAGGAGTTGGTAGTTCACCGTCGCTGGAGATAGTTCCGAATTTCGTAGTTCAGAACAAAATAATGAATGCAGCAAAGGTTATTCAAAATGGAAGCATGGCTAAACTAAACTCAGTGGATGACAGACAGAATAATTTTATCGCTATGTTATTTTGGTCAGTCTAGCTAGGAATGGAAAAAACACAACAAAGAGTGCAAATAATTATCTTGTTACTTTTTAAAGATAGCGCGGTCTCAAATATCCACAAAAAATCGTAATCCTTGATAAACTTCTCATAAAACTCATCAAAGATATTTTTTTTTAAAACGATTCCAAGTTCTGAAAGTAATTGATTTCTTCCAAGTTTATTCTTACTATTACCAGAAAAACTTTATCAACTTTTAGAACAGCTTTTCCGACTTCAAAAGCTTATCATTAATTCTTCCACCCTCAGCCGGGCCGTAAGTACAAATTACACTCTTAGTTTCGGAACACGGGAATGTTCCAGAATGTTCGAAACGTCCGGAATTGTTTAAGAGGCGCAGTTTATTCCGGTGGCGGGTGTACGATTGGGGAAAATCTGGATCAAACCGGTTCAAGGGATAATTCATCACGTAGACGGCTACGGCACGCCCACGTAATTTATTTATAATTTTGTGGTATCTTATTACAAAGTTTGGCAATCATCTGGCATAAGGCTCCTGCTTCATCATCATTTATGATAAACTGTCAAATCTGGGGGCACGGCAGTGCCCCCACCAAGGCGAGCTGAAAGCGGCACGGCCGTACCATCCTTTTCTCGAACCAGTTCAGGCCGTTTTTGACCCCCCCATAACTCCCTTGTCGATAAGTTTAGAACCTTCATTTTAAAATATCTTATCAAGCACTGCATAGACACGATACATTTCAAATTTAATTTAATTTGGACCAGTAGTTTAGAAGTTATAGTTAGTCAAAGTTTCTTAATTTTCTGCCTGACTGACTGACCGATCATCAAAATTCTAAGGTACTTCTAGCAGACTGAGCAGCTTGAAACTTAGAATACACCTTGTATTTAGTGTACGAATAAAGGGAAAACTATAACATTCTGCAAATTCGGTTGCAACCGCATAACTAACTTTGTATTTCCATACAAATGTATAGGATTACAAAGTTAACTTTGCGGATGGGCTTTGAGGAAATCTGTAGCTGAGGCTCAAGAAGTAGTTCCAGATAAGAGAAAGAGGAAGACTATCTACAAAAGAAATGAGATCCACAAAAACATTTACTTGTAAAGAAGTCTCGCCTCGCAGTTCATCTACTGTAAAAAGTTGTGAGATCCATGTGATGCCAAGTCGGTTATTGATTTATTCAAGGACTACTTCAGGGAACTTTCATCTTAAGCTATTGCGTAATTAGGTAACAGACATCATCTTACAGTAACTATATCGATATTTAAAAACTTTTATATTTACAATAACTAGAATGACTTGGCAATCGCACACTATTTGCTTGTGAGATACGATGGTCTAGTGCGATGGCCGGGTCATTCTAGTTATTGTAAATATAAAAGATTTTAAATATCGATACAGGTACTGTAAGATGATGTCT